ATTGAAATAAATAGATAGTCAATCAACATTTTTTTCCTGGTTTAAGATTATGATCTGATATTTTTACCAGAAGAATACAGAGGTATTTCTAAAGTCAAATAAAAGATATTTTAATGATTCAGTATTTAACAAATGCAATTTGGGGTTTACCCGGTATATGCACTTCAGTGTGCTTCTAAATTAACAAATATGGCAAGCTTAGAGTGCAAATATGTGATTTTACAGTGAAATCAAGATAGTGTGTAATACAGAAAACCTTGTTAGAGAGCACTTTTTCCTGATGTTGTACTGTTACTGAACTAAAATCAGAATTGTTCGATTGATGTATAATAATAAAATAAACTTGCCTATGAGCGTCTTCAAACATTGCCCTGACGCTGTATCCCATATACGACTGAAAAAACAAAATATGTCAGTTACAGCTTTGCATAGTTTACACCTTGACGATACAGGAAACATGTTTCATAGATAGATGTATTTAATTTACTTTTTTGAGATATAATCCACTGAAATTTATGAATTTTCCACCTAAGCAACAAAATTTATTGTAATTTTACACATTTTCAAATTTATTTCAGCACATGTCACTTATCAGCGAAAAATAAAAATTAAAACAAAATGAATAACTCCTAGTAATACATTTACAGTATCAGTCTTGTATTAAATACACAAGAATACATTTGGAGAGACATGAAGGACACAATAATTAGTGCGTACACCTCTCATCATGGAGGTTATGAATTCAATTCCTGGTTCACTCTGCTCTTCCTTCTAAACACTCAGTATTATGTCAGGGAACTGTTTTACATCTGCATTTGCAATAAACACCACAAAAAACAAAAAAAAGCAGAAGAAAAAAATTACAAAAGTATATATATTGGGAACATAGAAACCACTTACATGTACATGTATCTATTTTGAAAATAGATGGGATGGTTGTTGAGATTCCCCTGAACAGTGTAACAAGATTACCTCTGCGTGTGCAACATATATAACTTTGGTTGTTCAAGATTATTTCAAAGTTGAGAGATTGTGTTGTTTTCTTGAATTGAGCTATTTTTACCGGCTCTTTGACTAGCGTTTCACAGCAGCTCGCGCAGGGGCCATAGAAATACATGATACAGTGGAACATCTTGTGACGTACCTCCGCCCCCGAGAATAGACTGAAATTTTAATGATGAAATCAATACTTACCAAAGACCATCATAACTGCTAGAAACTATAAGAGAACCGTCTCTATTGAAATCAACCTATCAAGGAGAACATAGTCAACCTATTAATGCCTTGCCCTTGATGATTCAAAAGTTTAAAAAAAACACACAATATTTGCAAAAATATATGCGATAATTACATTCCACTAATTCTAAAAGAAAACAAGTCTCCCACAACACACAATTGTAACAAACTAATGATGTA